ATTAGTACGAAGGTGTGTGATAGTGTTTTCTCAAGGTTTTTTTTTTTTTTTTTTAACAACCCCAAGCTGACAATATTTTTTATTTCTTTTCTTTCTTCTTCTCTTGTTTTTGTTAATTTTTATTTCTTTTCAATCCCCATTTTTTTTTTATTCTTTTAACTTATTAATATTATTATTATTATTATTATTATTATTATTATTATTATTATAATTATAATTATTATTATCGTGAGCTTAAAAGTGAACGTCGTATGATATCGGTGAGAGATGAATGAACGTGACATGATCTTTTATTTTATTATTTTTTATATATTTTATATATTTTACTTTTTATTTGTTTTAATTTTTTTTTTATTCTATTTATTTTATTTATTTTTTAAAAGATGACGTAAGAGATAGGATGTTAGAACTAGTTACCCTGTTCTGCGAGCTGGCGTTTCTCCATTTTCCATCCGTACGAGAATTGATTATTGACTTGTAAATTTCTATAACCTTTCTTTTTTTTATTATTATTAATATTATAATAATTATTATTAATATTACTTTTTATTTCATTCGAACTTTATCGTTCATTCCTACATACATTCGTTTTCTTTCTTACACACACACACACTCTCTCTGTCTCTCTCTCTCTCTCTCTCTCTCTCGCTCTCTTTTTTTTTTCATACATTTTTCTCCGATTGTATTTTATTTTTGTTGTTGAATATTTCTCGCTCGATTGTTGTAATTGTTTTTACACCCTTATCGAATTCGCTATTAGAAGAAAGAAAGAAAAAAAACTACGTTCATTTTCGTCATCGTTAATTAATCGACATACATGTCGATGATTATTTTTGATTAATATTTGTATAAACAATTTCGAGAAGGGGTGTAAAAACACGATGGAAAATGGTGAGATCGCACGTGCAAGCTAACTTTCAAGAGTGCTACAATTGTTTTATTCTTTATCTTTTTGTTATTTTCATTTTCATTTTCATTTTCATTTTCTTTTTCTCTCTATTACTTCCGAGGTATTCTAAGTGTCTATGCATTTAATAATAATAATAATTATTATTTTTTTTTTTTCATTTCTTTTTCTTAACGTATGTGTGTCTGCATATGTGTGATTAATGTGAATAATTCATTCGTTATATTCGGTGGTTGAAAATTATTCAAATTGAAAAAGAGAAGATCCAAACGATCTATTATTAGGGGGTTGAATGGGTTTTTGGGATAAAGGTGGGGGTGATATCTGAGGTGAAGTGGAAAGAAATAAATTATAATTCATAAAATTAATAATCAATCACAAAAATCTTCCTACATATGCTATGTATATGTATACACACATCAAAAAAACAAGATTTTGCATCACTTCGGTTCTAAGATCTCCCGAACATAACCTAAAAAATAAACTAAACTCCTTACAGAGAGTTGAATATGGTACAAGGTGTAATGTGTGATTTTCATGAGCAATAAAAAGAGTTGAAATGTTGTTTGTGTTGATCTCTATACCATTTATATTTAAAGGTTCCGAAACTCATGGAACCGAAGTGATGCAAACCTTTTTTTGATTTGAATAAAAAAAAAAAAAAAAAAAAAAAAGTAGAAGAAAAAGAAAGCACAAGAATTTCCGAGCTTTTTTCTTAGGTTATGGTTAGTACGTTTTTTATTCTACCCCTTCTTCTCATCTTCCCCCACTTTCTACCCTTCCCTTTCCCCTTTTACATATACATATATATACGTCTTATTCTTATTCTTATTTTTATTCTTATTTCTTCTTTGCAGTTCATGCATATAAAATTATATATACAACAGGGGGTGATTTTTCTTTGTTGTTGTTGTTGTTGTGAGGTATTCGCACTACTTGCAAATTTAAAAAAGAGGAGAGAGTGTGTACATTATCGAAAAGTGAACGAGAGTAAGAGAGAGAACAGGTGAGAGAAATAGAAATAGAAAGAAAGATACAGGGACTAGTCAGAAAAGGGGGTTGTGGGTTACAGTTTGAGAGTTAGGGGTTGGGATAGGAGGAAAGAGAAAGAGAGAGAGAGAGAGTGCCTGAATATGTTTGTATATGTATCTGTGAGAAAAGGATAGAAAAAAAGAAGAAAAAAAAGAGACAGAGAGAGAGAGAGAGAGAGAGAGAGAGAGAGAGAGAGAAAGAAAGATAGAGATAGAGAAGAAGCTCACGTATTACGAAGGAAATCGCTTTCTCCGGTTTCTTGTGCAAATATTTCAGCACCGCCTTCCCTTTTTACCAGGGAGAAGTAAATTATCCTTACGCGAGCATTTCTCCCTATTCCTTATCGAGCCCTTATTCTCCTTTTTTCTCATTTTTCTTCCTTCTCTCTCCCTCTCTCTCTCTCTCTCTTTCTTTTTCTTTCTTTATATGTATTTTTCTTCTCTTTTCTATTTCTTATTCTCTCTTACTCGTATTGCTGTTTCTTATTCACTTATATCAATCTCTATAAATTCGTTATAAATAAATTAAAAAATTTATATATATATATATATATATATATATATATATATATATATATGAATTATGTTGTATTATATTATAATATTAAATTTAATGATTCTTTCGTGTATTGTTTTCTTTTTTAAAAAACTTTTAAACAAATTCACCATTCGAATAAACGTACACTCTCACGCGAACCTTATCTCGATTAAAGTTTCGATAAAGATATGGTAAAAACTATATATATATATGTATGTATGTTGTGTGTGCTATAATGACGGGGGATAGAATTAATTATTATAACCTCACTTTTCATGTTTCCTTTTTTTTTTCTTTTCTATCTCACTCTCTCCTATAGCCTATATATATATATTTTTCCTCTTTTTCTTTCTTTTTCTTCCTCTTTTTTTTTTTCTTTTCTATTAATTATTTACAATGTTTCAAGTTTCCGACATTATTATTTTTATACTCGTTTTATTTTACTTTGAATATTTTTATTTTTTATTTTCCACTCGTTTGGTATTGATGTATATGTTGTATGAATTTTTAACCTTTTTTATTTTTTTTTTATCAGAAGGATTGGTTTTTTTTTTTTTTAATTGTATTTAATTATTTCAATCATATTAGAAAAAACAAAAATAATGAAAAATAAAAAATAAAGAAAAGGAAAGAAAAATGAAAGAAAAGAAGGTTTAAGGGAAAGGACATGTTAGGTTTGTTTTTTTATATCACACATTTTTCGAATAGGGGTGGAATGTAATAATATTGTAAACATGTTTTAAAATCACACCGTCTTGTTATACATGAATAACTTTTTTTTTTGCATTGTATTTTGGGTTTTCGTGTACGTTCATTTGAAAAAATTAATTAATACCCAAAAAAAATAAAATAAAATAAAATGCAATTATTACATTGATTCTCTTTCATTTTGTTTTATTATTTTTTTTTTTATACGTTCTTCTTCTTCACCTGTTGTGTTTTTTTCTTCTGTGCTTTTTGTTTTACAATAAATGGGTTTATAAGAAAAATACGAAGGAGTAACAATTTAAATTGCTTCGTTAAATCGTTTTATTCATATTTAGACGGAGGTATATGTACGGGCAGTGTGTTTATTATTATTATTATTATTATTATTATTATTATTATTATTATTATTATTATTATTATTATTACTAATTTTTTTTTTTTTTTTTAACTGACATTACTAATAAATGTGATAGATTCGTACGAAGCATTTTCTAAAAAGATATTCTATTTAAATGATCGTTATCATATATATCTATATTTATTTATTTATATATATATTTCGAGATTGTGATATCAAACGGGAAAGAGTGGAGGGGGGGCGAGTAAGAAAGGAAGGAGTGGGGAGAAGGAAAGGAGTGGGGAGAAGAGAGGGTTGCTAGAATTGGTTTTGTTTTTTTAAAACCATTGTATGAATAAAATACACACCACCTTTTTTCTTTTGTTGTGTAATCGTTTGTACGAAAAAACGTGCCTGATTAGACACTTACACTATAATAATTATTATAATTATATAAGTTTTCGAAATGTTTTTATTAATAATTCGATCTTATGGCAGTGGATGGTCTAATATCTAAAATTGTCTTCTTCTTCTTCTTCTTTTATTTTGTGTTTAAATTTCAGGTTATTAAAACAAAACAAAAACAAAAAAAAAACAATACAATACATTCGTCAAAATCAATTTGCAATGATTGTTCATCTATTACTATTATTATTATTATTATTATTATTATTATTATTATTGTTTATTAAATATTAAATATAGCTTAGATCGGAATTTAACAAATTGTAATAAGATATTAGTTGTCACAGTCTACGAGTTAAGTTTCGTTAATTAAAAAAACATTTTTTTGTTTTATTTTTGGGGCCTTGGAACAACCCTCTCTCATGATTTGATCGTCGTCGTTGTTGTGTAATTTGTTGTTGTAAATGACTCTATACAAACGTGTGTCTCGAGTATAAGGAAATATAGAAGAATAGAAAAGGATTAACGCAATGTTTCTAAACATAGCGTGCTTTGGTACTAGCCTGAGTACTAATTGCAAATAATTTAATATATTTTAAATAGTTTATAAGCTAATGTGTGTGTATATATATATATATATATATATATAACTATACTAAATGATCACTGTCTTTTTATTCCTATTTTTTCTTAGGATTATCGCGTCATATTATTTAAATCAGTTTTGTTGTTTTAATCGATCTTCTTAAAAAAAAAAAGAATAAAAAAAAAAAAAAGAACAAACACACGGCCGTTTATAAATAACTTAATAGAAAAACTTGCTAACTATTTAAAAGGAACAACAACAACAAAAAAAAAGAAAAGAGATACAACATCTCTCACTTTTTTTTTTTATATAAATAACAAATAAAATAAAACATTGTTAAGTCAACGAAACTAATATTATTAATTACATTCGATCTTAATCCGTGTTCGACAAAAAATTAGAAAGAGAGGGAGGGAGGGAGGGAGGAGGGTTGAAAAAAATTGAAAAATAAAATACAATTCCCCCTTCCCTTCCCCTACTTCCTTTCCTTTCCTCCATTCACCACCCTCGTTATTTTAATTAAAAAAAAAACACGGAATGATAATAGTCACGTTAATCATTCGCGTATATGAATTCATTAAGAAACGATATAATCGTTTGAATGATGAGAATGATGTGAATTCCGATGTTTGTCCTTTCTATGATTGGTTCTTGAATTGCTACCACGTGTACCAGTGGTTCCCGTGGTACCAGATGTGTGATGACTATAACCACTGTCGCTACCAAAGCTGCTGTCTGGTTGGCCTTGGTATAATCTTCCCGATGACATTTGATCGTTATCCCTGGTAGCATAATAAACCGGTTGGGTATACTTGTTGTCATCGTTGTTAACATAAAGTCTATCGGTTGGTTGAGAATATGTGTCCGATGAATAATTGTCACCACCAACTTGGGTGTAAACTGGTGTAGTAGTTTCTTGATTTTGTATACCATAATAATTTGTATTATATTGATTGTTACCAGTATTATTACCACCGTTATTACCAACAGTGTTATTAGTAACATTAGCAACACTGACACCGACACCAACACCACCACCACCACCACCAACACTACCGTCACGACTAGCACTCATGTACTTGTACTTATCATTAGATTTTCTCAATCTTTCTTTATTATTTCTCGTTTGACTCGAATAACGATGTAATGGTCCGAGAACTGGTACACTTTCGTATGGGTTTTCTTCAAGTCTTAATGCTTGAGTTGCTGGCATTGGCGGCACAAAATATGGTAGTCTATGTGCCACCGATGGGACGGATTGTTGTTGTCGTTGACTACTATTCGTTCTGCTTCCTGCTACACCTGCAAAATTAATTTATTATTTTAGATATCAGTGTGTATGTTTATACGATTGTAATTAGTATATTTACTATTAAGGTTCTAGTTATATTCATTAAAGTTCAATTCAATCTAGCAAGGATTATTTAACAATAATAATTTGGTATTGATTTATCCAAATGTGTGATAATACTTGCAATCTTTTATCTATTTTGTTTGAAGTGTAATTTAATTAATAGGTTATTATTATAGAGACATAAGTATTGATAATCGATAAGCCAATTTTTAGAGAACTATATTACAAGTTATTAGTATTTGAATGATAGTACCTTTTGATTATAATTTGTGAACCAAGGTAAATATGGGTAATTTGAAAATCAAACATAAACCTACCCCTATCATACTAGGATAAATTTGAAGCAAAGTTACTAAGAATATTTAATCAACTTAATCTTTGATTTTAAATAACAATAAACTTGAAGTGACAGTTTTAAAGATTAATTTTATTATTATAATAGAAGGAAAACCTTCTTGATGATAATACCTGTACCAAGAATAGATTATTTGACAGGTAATTATGGTAATGTGAAAATGAAACGTAAACGTACTACCTGCCACGCTAGGATAAAGTTGCAGCAAAGCGTCTAGAAGCATCCCCTCATGGAATTCGCCAACGTCGTGACTTTTGTCTCTCTTGCGCCGATCTAAACTCCTAGGGCTTCTACCCCTTCGTTCCCTTGGCTGTCTGTTACCAGCAGGACACGTGCCCCATGCGGGACCATTAGACGTTAGCATCCTAGCCTCGGAAGGTTCACCGACCGATAGTTCATCCTCAGCGAACTCATCCTCACTACCTGCTTTTGACGTAGATGCACGACGATGATGACAATGATGATGATGATGATGATTTAAACGATTACGAGCGTTCAACTCGCTTTCCTCGTCCGTTTCTGGATGGTCCCCTGTATTAACAAATTGAGAATAACCCCAAAAAAAAAAAAGAAAACCAATCAAATTGTTAGATATTTAATTGCATCAACACAAGTTATTTTTATAAAAATAACATATTACTTATATTTATATGAATGTAAGCAACACTAGATATAATACCGATAGTATCGAAGTTTATTATTCGGTTGTAGAACCAAATCGAGAAGGATTCGGACATTTTGAAGGCAAACAAATTCCATAGGGTACCCAACAGAGAAGGGAAAGTTACGCGTGGGTGTTTCAAAGGGGGGAGGTGTGGGGATAGTGGATGAGTGAATGGGTGTACAGTGGTGGTGGTAGCAGTAAATTTTTGGCTGGAAATTTCGCCGCCAGCGATGTACGAGGAGACGGGATGGTGAGATTGGTGGGGTTAGATTGGAGTAGGGGTAGCCGAAGGGGAAGGGGGACTCTTCTACCGTTGCGGCCGCCATTGTCGTCCGCAAAGAGGAATGTACAGGTAACGAAACGAATGACGTCCGGTACCGTCGTCGTTGTTGTTGTTTCACGACATGTACGAGAAAAACTCTTCTTTTTGTTTTATCCACCCCCATCCCTCGTTTTCGCGTTACCTATTCTTGTTGTTGTTGTTTTTGTTTTTCATCCCCCTCCGATCTTTTCTTTTTTTCTTTTCAACAAGTCAGCTGTATCAACAAACATCCACTACACCTCTCCCTCATCCCCACCCTTGAAGTTTTCCAAGCCTAGAGGTTAGCACCCTTTTATACACTCCCCTTCTCACCCCATTCTCTATCTCTTTCTATTTCTCATTTTTACGAGGCCACGTTACCGTCATTCCAAATCTACTACTACTACTACTACGTAAAACTTACTCTACTCTACTCGCGAGATTATTTACGCGAGTGAACAACGTTATGCGAGTTTCACATTTCACACACGATACTTGTCCATTGTTAATGAAAGTATTGTTGGTCATACTTGTACTATAGGATGACAACATTTTTTTTTGTGTCGAATATTTTTATATACTAACGTTAGATTATAGTTCAACACGAGTTACACGGCTTTACTTTCGTGCTATGGTTGGTACCATTAAAGATAACCAAAAACAAAAACTTTAACACTTGTGCCCATTAATCCTCAATCCATTTAATTAAAGAACAATTTGATTTTAACAGAAATACATTTATCAGCAATTTAAAATACAAATTGTTAAAAAAAAAAAATCGTGAAAATTAATTAATAAAACCCATGAAAGATTAATGATCAATATCAGATACCAAACTTTCTCACATGGTTGGTTGGCTTCGTATCCAACTAAAAGTTATTTTCGTATTGGTTAGTTGATTACGTGCGAAATACTTGTGTGTAAGTTTAGAAACGAATGTATGAATGAATGAAAGAGAAAGAGGTAGAGACAGACAGACAGACAGATAGACAGACAGACAGACAGACAGACAGACAGACAGACAGAGAAGATGAGTTGATGGTTATAGGACTAATGTGTACGTCGTGCGGTCATGTATATTCGATTAGCACCGTATCCTCTCGTCAAACGTCGAAAGGGGCTCATCACCATGCTAATTAGACGTCGGACTAATGGGAAGTATAAGTCAGAGGTCGTGTCACGTTTATCTCAACCACTTCCCCCCTAACCACCCACCCCAATATCCTTCTCTTATCTTCGAAGTACGATCTGCAGTTACAAGGCTAGTTAAAGTTAGACGTTTTTCATTGAATTATTCGAAAATAACAACAACAACAACAACAACAAAAAATAGTTTAACAAACTTGTGTGTTAGGGTTTTGCAAAAGGTTTGAAAATTTAAATAAAAGTAGGCTGTTGAGTTAAAAAAAGATGTAATGCTTAGATAAAGAAGAGATAGTTGTGTTAGTAATCGTGACAAGCCAATTGACAAACGAAAAATAAATCAAAAAGACAGATCAAGTACCTATATTTATGTGTGTGTGTTTTATCTTACTGCTTTCATGGGACGTGGGGTTGTTTATTATGTAATTGTTTGTTTTTGCTTTTATGATAATTCTTCGGTTCTTCAAAGGCTAGTCTCATCTAAAATGAATAAGTTTCTGTCTAATTTAACTATCATCTTTGTGGTCGGTCATGTCAACGATTTTGATTATATTTTATAATGTGTTGAAGTTAAAAGTTGAAAGAGAAAAACACAAAAAAGAAAAGAAATGAGAGAAAAGATAATAAATAATAATTATACTAACCGTTACTGAGTTCTTCGTAAACAGGATTATAAAGATCCTGAGACGTGTAAGGATCTGGACCAGGACTGCTGCAGACGAATACACCTCTATTGCTTTCCTTCACGTCCAGCATCTGCCGCAATGAATAATGTTGGACAGTTAAAACACGTTGAAATTCTTAGAAAACTTTTTAATATATATATATATATGTAAAATCTTGTTATTGTTATTATCACGTCAGATAAATTTTGATTAAGTTTCAAGATTATTCCTACAGGAGCGACGTAATTACGAATCTCATATTTAGGAATATAAATAGTTTTACTTTTGCAATACTTGAATCGTATGAATATAATTTTTTTTTTTTAAATATTATTATAATTATTATTGTTTTATTGGGGGGTAGAGAAATATTATTATTATATTCGAAACATTTGTTTCGTGTATTTTGTAATTTTCTATTTCTATATATTATTTTATTTATATAAATTAATGAAATATATTATTCTCATAGTATTTTAAAATATCAAACGTATATGTGTTTCTAAATGAACTAATTATAAATTATCTCGAATGAAATAAAATGTATTTTATAACTTGTAACATTAATTAATTGCATTTATATATGTAAGCTTATATTATAATAAAATAAAATATAAGATAAAATAATATTTTTGCATACCTTAGAAGTTGTTATATAAACTATTTATATAAAATATATAATTATTATTTATTAAATGGTATAACTATTTATAAATTTTATAGAAATAGTTTAACTTCTAAAGTATGCAAAAAAGGAATAAAAATAAAATAAATTAATTGTTGGAAATCCAAATTTCCAAAATGTCCAAAATTGTTGGAATAATATTATTTTCATTCGAAATAATTTAAATCTGTGATTCACATGAAAATTCAACACCCCGACACGTAGAACCACTTTTCTCCTAATTAGAAAATACAAAAACAAAAAACAAAAAGAAACAAAAGTCAAAGTTTAAGCAAAAGAATTTAAAAAAAAAAAGAAAGATTAAGATTTAAAAAACAAAAACATAAAAAAAAGAAAATACTGACACGAGAAGCTCAAATCACCAGTCTTAACGCTTTCCTCGCGTTTCCGGCCAGCGATTAACTCGTTTCAACCCCTAAAGACTCTTGAGATCCTTTGAGCCCTTCACAATCCCTACTACTACCACCCATCCCTTTCTACTACTTCTGTTAGGCACTATTTCTATATATGTATTCGTTTCTATCTCTCCTTTCTCTTTATGTCAGTTAGTTTTCATTCTAGTGAAAAAAAAAAACGGAAAGAAACTTTTGGTGATAAAGAGAAAGAAAATAACAAAAAAAAAAAAATTATATGATATAAATAAAGATAGAAAAATCAAGCAAGGGATGAAGACGATGATAATAGGGTTGAAAGTTAATCCTTAAATTGACGATGATCCTTTAGCCCTTTTCAGATAATAATAAGGTACATATACAATCTTGAATGTGAGATCATTTATTTTTGTCAACCAGCCATTTGTTCTTTTTACTTTTTTTTCTTTATAGATATATTTTTGTTTTTTAAATATAAATATTAATTTGTAAAATATACATTAATTTTAATTAATTAATTAATATTTTTCTTTCAGTTTTTCTTTTTTCTTTTTTTTATTAGGAAAACAATCTTGAATGTAGATCATTTATTTTTGTCAACCAGTCATTTGTTCTTTTTACTTTTTTTTCTTTATAGAGATATTTTTGTTTTTTTTAATATAAATATTAATTTGTAAAATATAAGTTAATTTTAATTAATTAATATTTTTCTTTCAGTTTTTTTCTTTTCAATTTTTTTTTTTTTTTATTAGGAAAACAATCTTGAACTTCAATATAATTTATTTTTGTTAACTAGTCATTTTTTTTCCTTTAGATATTTTTTTTAAATACTAATTTGTAAATTAATTTGTAAATTAATTTCAATTAATTATTTTTCTATCAATTTTCTTTCTTATATTTTTTTATTTTATTTTATTATTGCAACTTTGCATCTAACATTACTTCACGATTTTATAATAAATGTGAATCATTTGAAATAAAATAAATATAAATATTTAAAAATTCAAAAAATTCTTCAACATATATAGAACTTTTATCTCTTTCATATTTTCTCTTGCAAGTACTTACAAAAAAAAAAAAAATAAAAAAAAAATAAAAGAAGAAAAAATAAAAAATAAAAAATAATGTTGACGTTAAAAAGTTGGAAATCTTTCTTTTCTTTATTTTCTTTATTTTCTTCGTAAGATTGTCCGACTAACGTTAAAAAAAAAAAAAAAAAAAAAAAGAGAAAAAGATATATTCGAGACTATCGAGGCGAATAACTTTTTTCCAACTTGTGAAATATAAAATAAAAAGAAAAAGAAGAAGAACAACAACAAAAAAAAAAAACAACAACAAAAGATGCTAAAATACCCGAAGAATATAAATTTTCGTACTCGTAGAAAAGCTGTCGTAACTTCGTAAGATACGAGAGTCATACTGTTAACAATAAACTTACTCGAGATACTATGGAAAATTTTCAAATGTCTTATAGCACTTTCGTGAATTACAATTGTTTCACAATGTGGGGGGTTGGGGGAGGGTTTGAAGGAGGGTTCGAAACGATTCTTCGATAAATATAAAACGCAAACCCCCGTTAGTTAGTTAGTTAGTTAGTTAGTTAGTCAGTTATAGTTATTTAATTCTTTCATTACGTTCATTTCGTTTGTTCATTTAATTAAGAATTTTAACTGATTGCAAAATTCTCATCTCGAAAATAACCCACGTCTGATGATGATGATGATGATGATGATGATGATGATGATGATGATGATGATGATGATGATGATAATGGGAGGTTAGGGAATGAGGGTGAGATTGGGGAAACATTTATATTAAATTATAAACAAAATGTATGTATCATTTATTACCAAATGTTAAAATTATTCAACGATTTTCCTTGCATTATGGTAGAATCGTATATTAAACTGATTTAAGTGTAAATATTTGACGAAACGATAATCACGTGTGTAGTTGGTTCACGTTCAAGCCGCGACCTGATTTTCAACCCCTATTTTGTACACTAAAGATAAAAGAGAGAGAGAGAGAGAGAGAGAGAGAGAGAGATAATATACTAGAGAAACCTTTTGAAAATAAAATCATTTCAAACATTATATTTTCAATATTATTTTGTTCACACAGTTGCATAACTATTATTTCTTCTTTTAGGAAAATGGTTGAAGTCAAATTAAACCTTTTTTAGTGCTGTGGGACTCATAAATGCGTTTGGTAAAAATTAAATGGTAATAAATGCTAATATGTACTTGTTAAATATTAGTTCAAAATAATGTTAATGTTTTATATATAAATATATTATTATTTATGTATTAATTAATATTATTAATTAATTAGTTATTTATTAATTTAATATATATAATAATTATTAAATATTAATACTATAATATATATATATTATATTAAATTATTAAATAATATATAATTGGAAACATAAACTTTAATATAATACTAATTTAATAATAATTAAATTATTTATAAAATTATAAATATATTTAATATTAAAATCAATAATTTAAATATATTTAAATTAATTATTAAAATATAAGTTAATTTAATATAATATAATAACATTATTATATTAAATATAATATAAATATATAAATATAATATAATAATAACATTTTATTATATTATATATAACTTTATATATATTAAATTTAACATTATTATATTAAATATAACTTTTTTTTATTATTATTAAAATGTAATTAATAATAAACTATTATATTTTCCTATGAAACATTTTAGTTAAAAGTATTTAGCACTCAAAGGGTTAAATTTAAAGTAGGTGGAGATAGACCTACCGGAACTAGGTTGGAAAAGGGTAAGATATGTGACATAATCGTGAATAGATTAGGAAGGTAACCAGAAATAGGTTAGAACGATTTAAACCCTTGACAGGGTTATATCCCGTTTAAACTATCGTTGATCCACCCTTCACTTCCTTCCTTCCTTCCTTCCTTCCTTCCTTTCTCTCTTACCATCCCTTCACCTTTTTCTCTTCAACCCTTCATCATCGTCATCATTTACTACGTGTTTCATACTAAACTACATCGATGTATAACTCGTAAATAGTTTCCGACTATTCTTAAGGTTCATTTCATACCTGTGTCTCGTCTCATTTGAACCAGGTGATATTTGACAGGTGTAACACTGGACTAGGTGGTTTATATCAACACGTTAAACGAGAATAAATGACGTGCCATGATACTCAATCTATCTTTCTACCTTTTCTTTCAAGAATCCACCCTACAACCCTCCAAATATCATCCCCATTTTTGTGGTTTACCATTTCTATTTCTTTCATTCACGTTCGTTTGTTTGTTTGTTTGTTTGTTTGTTAAGTGTAAAATTAATAACATTTTTTTATCTAATTGTTTTCAGAATGAGATAGAATTTTTTTATTGAGAATTCAATCGTCTGAATGAAATCTGTCATTGAGAATAGAAGATGTTGAATGAATAAATAATATCGTTGAATATAATATAACAGGATGTTATCATTGATAAACGATAAGAGTATGAAACAGTTATAAGATAATAAGATTATCTTTAATCGACATTTGATTGAAAACTATATTCCTGTCCATGAATAAATAATAAAACCAATGTGGAGATTCTTGAATGAGTCTTGAATGTGTGAAGTTTTTATTAGAATACTTATATATATATCATTTAATATTAATGTGTGATTATTTTTATCAGGATAATCTGAATAAAACTTGTAGAGTAGGTCGAAAGGTTGAAAGATAATTTGATATCAGGTGGAAGACGAAAATAAAGAATTCGATTTGTTGCAGAATATAAAGAAGACGATGATGAAATTAGATATCCCTTTTAAAATGGTGAATGAGTTTTCGTTGTTATTTGTAGAAAATTCAAAAAAATATTCCTATAATTATTATATATATAAATATATATAATAATTATAAAACTATAATATATAATATATATACTATAATATACTATATATTATATTTTATATTATATTATATTATTTTATATTTATTTTATATTTTATATTATTTATATTATATAT